TGCAAGTTTGGTTTTAATTAGTTAATTATTTGATGATATAAAACAGTGGGAAAAGTCATGATTGACACACACACACACACACACACACACACACAGTTGTGTCCTCATCACTGGCTCCTGCTTTGATTTAATGTATTGGATCAGTGTGCAGTCACATTGGAGGTGCACTGAGGGAACCACACCTAATTCATTGCTGTAGTTTCTTCTTCATGACTTTACTCATCACCTCTGCTTTTAGACCACCAACGAAAAAGAGGATAATCGCATGAAGAATGTTCCTGTCCCGGTATACTGTCGCCCCCTGGTGGAGAAGGACCCCAACAGGAAGGTGAGAAATAAAGATGTCCACGCCCAATTATAATAACTTCATTCAATTTATTTATTTAAGGGCAGTCAGGTCAAAAGAGACGAGGGGCAGCATCCTTTGTTTCAGTGTGGCTGGTTCTGTTCTATTCATTTTTGCATGTGTGTGTATGTGTGTGCTTGTAGTTATGGTGTGCGGCAGGCGTGGACCTGACAGGATGGAGGGTCGGCAGCCAGGAGTCGGTACCAAGCAGAGCCCTGTTGGGCGGCAGCGATCCCCTGCACACTGACGAGGACGGAGCTGAGAAGAAGAGCAGCCACACGTCCCCGGAGAAGAGGAAGGTACATCATTTGCTTTATAGATTTTTTTGTTTTTGAACCATGAATTCTATTGGTCTGTTTTTGGTTTGCTGTCATCGTCACTGCCGTCTCCCTGTCTCAGTCAAAGGAGCTCCAAGAAACCGACAGCATGAACAGTCGAGTGTGGATCCTCACCAGCACTCACTCCGCCAGCAAAGTGGTCATCATCGACGCCAACCAGCCGGGCTCACTGGTCGACCAGTTCAACGTCTGCAACGCGCACGTGCTCTGCATTTCCAGCGTACCAGGTAAAACCAAAGTGATTTTCTTTATTTTTTCTGCACTTTTCGTTTTGTAGTTGTTGTTGTTGTGTTAATATTTGTTTTTGCGTTCAGCTGCCAGTGAAAGCGACTACCCAGCAGGAGAGATCGTGTTGGATCCAGGTGATGGTGGCGCCGGCGGAGGCGAGGACACCGGTAGTGTGGAGAACATGTTGGCCGGTATCACTCTTGTCGGCTGCGCCACCAACTGCAGCGTTGCTCGTAGCAACTGCTCCTCACGCACTGACACCCCCATAATGGACAAAGGACAAGGTGGTCCCACTGTGGATAATCCTGCATCTGGATTTATCATAGGAAGATAAGAAACGTGTCAATGTTACAGGTTTATATTTGTTTCTATGGTTTTTGTGCCCTAGCCCCCACTGCTCCCCCCATGAACGGAAAGATTCACACCGCACAGTCGGCCGAGGAAGCCACTGAAGCCACAGAGGTCCCAGAGTCAACAGCCAGCCACACGATGAGATCCGGACCTCCAGGACCATTCACCGAACACGTCTTCACAGATCCCCAGCCTCGTCATACAGAAGTCTCCGACAGGTAAGAGCTCAAAGTCTGTCCGCGTCAAGACAATCAATATAAACCTGTGAGCGCATTAGATAATGATTTGATAATATCCATGTATTTCATCTGTCCTCACAGAAGCGGAGGCCAGTCCAAAGAGGAAACGTCTCAGCCTCCAGAGTCAGAGGACGGAGGAGACGAGTCCAAAAACTACACGAGCGTGGCCCCCACCATGTGGCTCGGGGCCCAGAACGGCTGGTGAGTCGTCCCGCTGAACAGCAGGACCCAAAACCGGACTTTCTCCAGAGTTTTGCCTTTTCACACATGAACAACACAGGAGATTCTCCACAGCAACATCTTAGTAGGTGTCTTCTAGTTGGTGTGTGGCTCCGCTTTCTCATCCTGGGATCTTTGCGTCTGTCAGAAACGTCATCAACACTCACAGTGAATCCTGCGGAGGATCTCCTGCTGTGTTCTCACATGGGCTCATTCAGACATTCTCCAGAGCTTTATCTATGCTGGCTGGAGAAACATTGCAGAAAGTCCCCAGGCTCTCACTCGGACATTCATGTTCACACACACCGCAGAATATGTGGAGGTTCTCTGGAGTTCAGTCTGAAAGCATCTTAAATAAGCTTAAATTTTCCCTTGTTGGGCAGGAGTGGTTGTATCTTCACAAGTATCGTGTTAGGCCTTTAAATTCAGTCTGGACTAACTTGTCTGTGTTGTCCCTCAAGGCTCTACGTGCACTCGGCTGTTGGAAACTGGAAGAAGTGTCTCCACTCCATCAAGCTCAAAGACTCGGTGCTCAGTCTGGTGTAAGTGGTCGTGCCAGATTTGAAACAAGCTACGCACATGTTCATGTTAGAAATACATCCCCTCTCTTTCAAGACTTATTTTTATGGTCTTACTTTTAAATGAATTCAGCCATGTCTTTTACTTTAATTGTAATTTTAATCTTGCTGTGCCTCTGTTTGTAAAGATCTTGTTGCTTCGACATCTTTTATTGTGTTATTCTGTTCTGTCTGAGCTGCGTTTTACGTTATGACAAGTACCACATGAGTAAAGTTTATATAAGTCTGTCTGTGAATTTCTGTTACACCAACAGTCTTTGTTTTCTCTCCTTCTGCAGGCATGTGAAAGGTCGTGTGCTGGTCGCCCTCGCTGACGGGACGCTCGCCATTTTCCACAGATCAGAGGGTATTTGGCATTTTGAAATATTTGTTTTAACAGGGCTCCTGAGCACCAACATGTCAGTTTAGCGTTACCACCACTCAGGCTCCGTGCACTCCGACTTGAGCCATGAAATCCCAAACATCACAGGGAACCGGTGACATGATTCTGTTTTATCAGCTTTCGTCACGGATTCATTGACCGGCACTGACAACCAGTCTGTGTGTTTTGTGTTTACGTGAAAATAAACAGGCCCTGATATCATTCTGTGTGTGTCTCTGTCAACAGATGGCCAGTGGGATTTGTCCAACTACCACCTCATGGACCTCGGTCGGCCTCATCACTCCATTCGCTGCATGGCGGTCGTCCACGATAAGGTGTGGTGCGGCTATAAGAACAAGATCCACGTCATCCAGCCCAAGAGCATGCATATCGAGGTGAGATGTGAATTCTCTGCCACAGACAAAACCACCCATCAGCTTTTTATAATTGTTATTTAAATGATGTGTGGGTTTGTGCGACGCTCATCCTTCGCTGCAGAAGTCCTTCGACGCGCACCCCCGCAGGGAGAGCCAGGTGCGGCAGCTAGCGTGGATCGGCGATGGCGTGTGGGTGTCGATCCGGCTCGACTCCACCCTGCGTCTGTACCACGCTCACACACACCAGCACCTCCAGGATGTGGACATCGAGCCATACGTCAGCAAGATGCTGGGTGAGATAAGGGGAAGTTTGGATGCAACTAATTTTATGTTTCTTCTTGTAGAAATGTTTCTTTTCAATTTAGCCACTGAATTTATGTTTCTAGTGCTTTTTTAAACATTCCCTTTAAGCCTAAATTGTTTTGCCCTCACTCTGGTTGACCCTCACAGGTACTGGCAAGCTGGGCTTCTCTTTTGTGCGAATCACGGCGCTTCTGATCGGCGGGAATCGTCTGTGGGTAGGAACTGGAAACGGTGTGATCATCTCCATCCCACTGACGGAGAGTAAGTTCCATGTACACGACTGTATCAGTTACCTATTTATGATTCTATTTGTTTGTCGAGGCACATTTAGAATGATTTCATTTCACGTTAAGGACCAAGCAGCGCCATCATGTGGTCAAGTCACGTTTTTGGCTTAATGCTAAACCATCAGACTGTAGCTGTGAATTTACCAATTAGAGACAAAGTTTAGATTTTTGTTGATAGCTTCAAATATAGTATTAGGGATACTTGAAAGGAAAAAGTTGTACATTTTGAGAATCTTTATAACATTACCAGAATAAAGTAATATTGTCGTTAACATTAAATTACAATTTTTTTCTCGTAGCATTAAAACTTCATTCTTGAAATCTCTAAATCTTTTCTTCCATATGACCTTAATTATAGTCTTTAATCAGTTCTTATCTAATCATATCAAATCTAAAATCTCATCAGTCACCTGAACCGATGAGTCTTTTTTCTATTAACACACATGCAGCAGTTCTCTTCAGCTCCTTCCCTCTTCTTCCCATGACGTCCCTGACTATATTTCTTTCCACCTTTTATTTTCCTTCCTTCGATGGTTTCACTTCTTTTCACACAGTCATAACTGTTACTGTCACTGTCCTCTTTCTCCTCTGCTCTCCTCCCTTCCTCCTCCTCCACCTCCCGTAGCGGTGGTCCTTCACCGGGGACAGCTCCTGGGTTTGAGGGGTAAGTGGGAGCGCTCCTGACGTCCCTGCCGTTGGGATCCCCCTTCCTTTGCCTTCACCCAGTCAAACCTTCATGTTCCTTGATATGTGCTCGAGCAGCGAAGGACACGGTTGACACTTGTTGTCCTCGTTCTGCTGATGGTCACCAAAAATATTCTGTGTGCAACGATTTCCTTTTCATACTTGTATCAGACTGGTGCTTTCACACATCGGTTGCCTTGCATGCTCTTCATCATTTGATTTATTGCAACTTAAAGATGCTGTATATTCGTGTACCCATTGCATGTCAAATTTGCTTTTGTGCTTCTCTAAAAAGATTTTTCATTTTCAGTTGATCTTTGGACAAATGTGGGTGTTGTGGGTGATTTGTTTTGTGTTAACTTGTTGGTATTTTTGGTGTCAGGCCACCAAAAACAAAACAAAATGCAGGTTGGTCCGTTATTCACACCTGTACGCCTTCTCCCTCTCAGCCAATAAGGTGTCTCCAACGTCCTCCGGGGGAGTCATCCACGTGTACGGCGACGACGGCTCTGAAAAGAGCAGCGGCAGCTTCATCCCTTACTGCTCGATGGCACAGGCCCAGCTCTGTTTCCACGGACACCGAGATGCTGTCAAGTTCTTCGTCTCAGTGCCTGGTAATCTCTCAGTCTGTCTGTCTGTCTGTCTGTCTGCTGAAAACATAAGATAATAATCACTTGTTCTGAATTCAGTGTGTTTTAAACTCCTTACCAGTCATTTTCATTCACACAGAAGTTTGCCACTAAATCTAAGCAGGTAGAATCTGCAAACGTTAACGTCCTAAAATATTTCTCCCATAACTAGTTTTGGATTACAGCATTAATCTGTGATGATAATACACTGAGGCCGATGCTCTGCAAAGCTCTATTGTCTGCTAATCGTGCTTGTAAAGCAGATGTGGACGCTGTCATCATTGTTTAAGACTTGAGGGTTGCTGAGCATCTGTTCCAACAAAAACGATTTGGGTTTTGAACGCACCCCGACTCCTTTGTATGTTTCAGGCAATGTTCTGGCCACCCTCAACGGCAGCGTGCTGGACAGTCCGTCTGAGGGGCAGGGCTCTACAGCGCCCCCAGAGACGGAGGCCCAGAGTGTTCAAAACGTGCTGGTGCTGAGTGGAGGAGAGGGCTACATTGACTTCCGTATAGGTGAGCGACCACGGCTGCATGTCAACCTGACACCACAGACACACTGACACCACAGACACACTGACACCACAGACACACTGACACAACAGGCGTGTGGTTAACACCGGCACCATTCTTAGTAACAGCCATTGACTGCAGCTCTTATATTCTTTGTATCTTTCTCCTCAGGGGATGGAGAGGATGACGAGACGGAGGAGGGAGAGAGCGGTGGGGCCTCGCAGATGAAACCTGCCTTGTGCAAAGCTGAGCGGAGCCACATCATTGTCTGGCAGGTGTCTTACGTACCTGAATGACACCTGGATCTGCTTTAATGCCCCTCACACCCACCCGACCACCACCTCCTCCTCCTCCTCCCCCTGGCCCCAAAAGCTTCCAGCCACCCAAACCTTGTAATTATCCCCGATCGAGGAAAAGCTCCCTTGGCTCTAAAATGACCCTCCAAGCTGTGTATGGTCCCTTGTAACTATGATATCCCCTCCTGCCCCATCACCTTGTTACTCTAAAGCCTTGTAAGTACCTCCTCCGATCTAGTAATCTGCCTGCCATCCCATCTCTCCCACCCAGGGCATTGTTAACTATCTTTATGAGCTTTGTAACCCAGCCTCATAACTACCTCCCCTCCTCTGTATCGATCTTATATTAACCCTGTAAGCACACTGTACCTCCTCCTATATTTACCTCAATTGCCCCAAATCAGCCCGAGTTAGTCCTCCTCTTCCTTCATTTAGTTTGTCACCTGTGAATCCTCCACCTCGTCTGGAAGTGAAGCCCACAGCCCCAAAATGCAACAGTTTTACCCCAAAAAAACAAAACAAGTGTGGCCAAACTGACTTCTACCACAAATCAGATAATCCATAACCATTTGTGACTGAAAACATTGACCCTGTTTGTTGATGGATGCAGATTTCAGGTGCTTTGACACTTTGAATCTTTTTTTGGCATTTAAAATTGTTGCGAACGGTTTAAGTCGCTGGGTTTGTTGAGATTTTGAGGATGTGTCGAAACAAAATAAATGTAAAGTCAATATTACCATACATTGTCAAATTTATATTACAAGTCTGGGTTATTTGGACTGTTACCTAAAATGTTTTGCCTTCCATCTTGCCTGTTTTGAAGAGTCCTGATTTAGGATTTGTTTTTCATCAGAGCAAAGTTATTGGGCCCAAAACGACAGGAAATGCACCTGCAGCAGCAGCAGCATGATGTCAAGAGATCAGAACATGTTTATGTGCTTTAAATCTCGTGAGAGTTTGAGGGTCGAGTCCAAAACAAATTTCTCCTCTGAATGGCTGTGGATCGGACTGTTTGGTGTAAAGCAGGTGAACGGTGGCGTGGCGTCATAACGTGTACAGGGATTATTGTAAATCTCCAGACACACCGAAACCCATCCTCTTTGTTCAGTATGGAAATTCATGCATCGACCTCCATCTGTGTGGATTAAATATTAAACATATTTGTGTGCTGAAAAAAAACCCTTTGTGTGGCATCTCTCTCATTTTACAAAACACCGAAACTTAGTACAGCTTTTTAAAAATTGGATTTATTGATTGACATGTCCAATACAATCCACTTAAGCATTAGTGTTTTTAAAAAGCATGGAGTGAAGACATGATGGAAAAATGACATGTTTTATAAAAAGATATTAGCAAACTTCATTCAGCGTCGTAAACAAAGAAAGAAGATTTATACATCATATTTTAAAGGCTTTTTCAATCATTATTCAAGTTTGCTAGAGTTATGGGACTGTGTTTACATTCTTACAGAATTTGAATTGAAAAGTTACAGGAAACTGAAAAATCGTGAATGTACAATAATGGTGCCGGTTAACTTCTATTATTGATTTCTTTAACGTTTTGTGGTTTCATTACATGTGGCTGATTTTTCACCTTCAATACAAAGGCTCAAAACAAACTAAGCTGGTAAACAACGTAGCTGTGATTTGATGTTTCCCGTAACTTCACCTGAGTACTTGTGTACTGATGTGGGAAAAACACATAGAAAGGGTTGACGGGAAGTAAACAGTTTAGTGTACCTTTGATAGAAACTGACCTTTGGGATCAATTGTTACAATTTCTGTTCTTTTATTGCACGAAATCCAAGCTTATTGCTTAAAAGTTATGTGTGAGCTAGTGTTCTGCACTCATTAGAAGCCATACTGAAAACTAACAGTCAAGTTTTTTGGTAATTTAGTGCACTTTTGCTACAAAGAATCATTTCCCCTCTCAGACTCACTTCATATAGATTATATTTTCAAATGAATAAAAAAAAAAAAAGACAGCAAGAGACCCAGCAAGGCAGCAATGACGCAGCATCTCTCCTGTAGCTACGAGCTAATAAAGCCAAAATCTTCCTCTGAGGTACAATGAGATTCATCTTGTACTGAGACTAACAAAATAAAAGAAACACTGGTTTACCAACAGGATGGTTTACATACACTGGATTTCGAAGATCAGTTGTAGATCCAGTGGCTGCAGTTGTCTTCCCAGCTCTGAAGCTCGTTCTGACGAAACCACAGAGAAATCTCCCTCTGGGCGCTCACCACAGAGTCGCTGCCGTGGATCACGTTCCTGCTGACACAAGCAGGAATAAAGGATGATATTATAAATCACAGGTTGTGACTGCAGCATAAAAATACAACTCTCGTGTTTTCCCCTCCGAGGAGAATTTAGTCATTGGTGATCTGACCTTCCCACTTCCACGCAGTAATCTCCTCGGACGGTTCCTGGCAGCGAGTCCGCGGGGTTGGTCTCCCCCAACATCTTACGTGCGGTTTTAACCACGTCCAAACCCTGCCACACCTGAACAAACACAAAGGAGGACATCAAAAAGCTGCGGTGGCACCGCACCCTGCAGGGCGGATTACATCAGATCTGACATTTTCAACACATTCACTTTCTTGTACGGAGACAAGCTGTGGAAAGAAATGTCGGCTGATTTCACACATAGAGCTGACTTCTTTTTCTTGACGCCTCATGATGACAAATCTTAACTGCTGTGGTATCGATTGTTGAATCAACCAGGATAAAACCTGTCGTATCCAGAGGACGTGTGTATGTGGAGAAAATGTGCTGAGGACTCACCGTTGCAACAATTGGTCCTGAGCTCATGTAGGCGATCAGTCCTCTGAAGAAGGGTTTACTCCTCAGCTCCGAGTAATGTTCCCTGAGGAGCTCCTCAGATGCCTGATCATCATCCAAACGAGACAGAAACATACTTAGTGTGTGGTGGATTAAACTATGTCACCAGTTTTTTTTTTGTTTTTTTTAAAGGGGGAATGAAAGACTGACATCCAGCACACCTGCATAAGTTTGAGGCCCACCAGCTTGAACCCTTTCCTCTCGAAGCGCCGCACGATTTCTCCAACCAGCCTCCGCTGCACGCCATCAGGCTTCACAGCGATGAAGGTTCGCTCGTTCACCCCAGTCCAGCCTGGAACCAGAGCTCACATGAAAAACCAAAAAACCAGTGTAGTGTTCCAACTGCAGTGTCCAACCATAACACACACACACACAGCAAGGACCAACGAGCATTACACGGAGGCTCCAGCTCAGGTCTGTTTTGCTTGGTGTGTCTCACCAGATTCTTCGATCCGTGCACGTTTAACCACCACATCTTCACCATCACACAGATTTCTCTGTGACCTTCTCTTCGGCCCCATTACAGAGCTCCTCCTTACAGCAGCTCCCGACACGAGCTATTAATAATCCGATGAATCATCTCATTTAACCGCGAAGGAGGAACACATGGAGCCGCAGTGCTCGTTAGCCGCTGCTGGATTAGCGGCTAACAGTGTCAGGAGAGCCGCATGCTAATTCTAACACGCGTGTCACTAAAGTTCGGGTGCTGTTAGTCACAGATCAAAACTCATACAAGACTTCACTTCTGTTAAACACACGCGAGTCTCTGTTAGTTCAAGTGTTTGAAGGTTTCCTGCCTCCAGGGTCGCTCCCTCTCTGCAGCAGCAGCAGCTAGCCGAGGAGTCCCTCTCTGTCCCTGCGGACACTGCGAGCTCATTGTCCGCCGAGAGAACCGAAGAACCACGACCGACAGAGGACATGAACATCACCCACCTGACTGGAAGATGTGAGCGAATATGGACAGAAACACACAGATCATGTCGCTGCACGGACGGAGCGACACACACACACACTCACTGCTCGAGGCGGAAGTAGACGAGGATGACGCAGGGCGCCTAAGTCAGGACGCAGGGACGTTGCTATGAAACGTCCAGCCAATCACATGCGAGCTGAGGAAGCTCCCTCACCGCCGTAAAGAGACAAAAGTTGACGTAATGAAATGAATAGTGAAACTGAAGTCAGAATTGTTTACTTGCTACTACTGATACTACATGTTATTGGTGTAGCACTTTTAAAGGAACGCAAAGACACTTTACGTAGCATTTAAAAGAAAAAACAAGCTGAAGATTGGAGCCACAAACAAAATGTAGTGACAGTGGTGCTTATAAACAGTGAACAAATCCAGCTGTTGAAACCTGGTGCCGCCAGACCCAATAAATGTTGCATTAAAACTCACTGAGATTGGGCTTATTTTACCTCAGATTTATTAACACATCACAAAGATACACATGACATAGAGACGACTGCCGCAGAAGAAATTTAGCAAACAATTAGTTTGGAATTATTCCAGGATTTATCACGAAATGTTCTTGGACAGAAGAAGTTGAATGCCTCTGTCAACACTGCTTTGATCCAAAAAGTCCAAGATTAGTGAACCACAGCCACACAGGAGTATCACACCGCGGTCCCCTCTTTGCTCTGCCTCGCTTGCTCCTGACTGCGGAAATAGTCTTTGTTAAGCCGGACGTCCCTCTTCAAGGGTAAGGTGGGCTCCTCTGTCAGTACGCTGCCCGTTGCTTTCTTGTGCTGAGCCAGTAGCATGGCGCGGAGCAGTGGGGGGTAGGGGACATAGCGCACCGGCGGCTCAGGGAGCGGCTCAAAGTCCATGAACTGCTGCTCTATGTGTTTGGGAATCAGGCGCCAGTCATGGTACATCACCTTGTCCACCTCCTTGACCTCGCTCTCCTTTTTCCCTGATGAGCACAGATCACAACAAAGTTACAGAATGATCATCACGTATCATTTTTTATTTTATGTGCACAAATTTACTTTTTCCTTCTCGAGCATAAACAATTGAAGATTTCTGAGAGAGTACAAGTGGATGTTGATAAAATTTTGCAGCAATGGAAAGTCAAACTAGAACCAACCTTTTTTCACCTAAAAATGTAAATGAATAACCAGCTAGAGATTGAATTCATTTAAAAAGCATGTATAACAACACAAGATTGTGTACGTACAAACTAGTCTGCAACTGAGATTCTGATTATCCACTAATTTTAATTACAGGGTCCAGTCTTACCTTTGAAGGTGAGGATCCCCCACGCTTTGCCATGATCCATGTTCTACAAACCACAAGAAACCAGTCTCAGTCACCACTCTTATTTCTACATCTCTTTTCTCATAACAATATGCAGAGGTTACAGTCTGTATAACAGTGGATGGATGTGGCTCTCTCACCTCAGCTGTGTAGTCCACCTTGACCTTGGTGATCTGCCAGTAGCTCGGCTCAGTGTGGTCCACCAACCAGGACTTCCGGGTGAAGAAACGGCCTACTCCGAACATCCTCATGCCAGCAAGCATGGAGAAGAGGCGGCTCTCTTTTCGGACATCTGTCCAAGCCAGCACAGGCAGCCTCTTCCCCGTGAGAGGACGCTTCATTGTGTCATAGTCCAGGGCGTACTTCTGGGAGTCCCGCGGCTGGGCCTTGAGCTCTCTGTACGCCCGGACCTTCCGAGCCATTTCGGCGATGAGACGAAGTCGCTTTTTCTTCACCATGACTGCGTGGTGTTATAGTCGCTCTTCCCCGAGCCCGACGTGTCCTGTAAGAGAGGAATTTCATTTAGTTACATGTGAACTTCTAGATCTTCTCCCTGCTGGTAACACAGGAAACAAACCCCCATCAGTCTGTCAGCAATTTCATACGAGTCCATCATCACGATAAATGTCTCATTATTGTTGTTGTTTTATCTTTTAAGACTGATTTTAGCTCCTGAGTGAAAGGTTGTGGGTTTAAAGCCCTCTTAATGAGCTACAGACAGACAGATAGATAAATACATAGATAGATAGAGAGAGATAAATAGCAAACTGGGAAATCCCTGTGTTACAGCAGCAAGGTGTAAAATATAAAAGCGGTACATGATATATAGCATATATATATATATAGAGAGAGAGAGAGAGAGGGGTGATAGCAATGTTCATAATATATATAAAACATTCAACAGAACTAAGGTCGATCAATGATGTGGTTATATCTTATCTATTATGTTTTATATTGTATCGATGTATAAATACATTTGAATTGTGTTATATTGCAATTTCATATTTTTATTTTGCTGATATCAACTCATCTCTCCGACATCGACAGCCCTGCTGTAACGAAGCTAGCCTGAGCTAGC